TGGGGGGGGATGCTGCTGGCTGGAGGAGCCCTGCATCCCGAGGAAAGGCTTTTTCTGGGGGGGGAGCTCCGATGTCTTGGCATCTCAGGTGGTTTCTTGTTCTCTGGTGGGTTTCGGAGCCGTTCCTGGGGGAGAGGCAGAGGTGGGGAAGGAAGGAGGGGGGGGGCGGCTGCATCCTGCCAAAATTGTCCCTGTGAAGAGGCTCAGCCCCCTCTCGGGGTGATATCTGGTGGGTTGGGGGGTGTAAGCCACCCCCGTGGGGCCACCAGAGTTCCCCCAGGGTGCTGCTGCTTTATTCGGAGCCTTCATTTTGCCCCCTCATCCTCTCCTCATCGCTGCTCTGTTCCTTTATCCCTCAATTCCCTCGCGGCACCGGAGTCTCCCAGCAGGTTCCCAAATCCCCTGGTGGGTGCTGGGTTGGGCACGGGCTGAGGTCCCCCCCCTGAGTTGTCATCTCCCCCATCTCCTGCATGAGCTTGGTCAACTTGGGACCACGGCTGGCCCTAAAAATAACCCCAGAGAAGCTCCCCGGGCACTGACAACCCCCTCAGAGACCTCCTTGATCCCTGGGGGGAGCAGGGATGATGCTGGGGGGGTTGTGTGAGATGGAAATGAATTTCCCAGTGGCTAACTGGGGGAGGAGACCACCTGCCCTGGTTCCTTTTTGCCCTGCAGAGCCCCAGGAGGGGACGATGCCCTTAGCAGGCAGCGTTCCCCGCATCCCAAAGGATGGAGGTGGTGGGGAAAAGTACTCAGGAGAAGTTTGGCTCCGGGGGATCCAGTCAATACCTCAACCCTGGGCACCTCCAGCCACCGGGCTTCGTGCCACCCCATTTTGGCTACCTTTGCCCGCGAGGCTGGTGGCCCAAATCCGGTGGGATGCTGAGCAAATCCCACCCCCCCTCTCCTTGCCATCTCCTCCAGGTGTGCTCAGGGAGCCTGCGCACGGGAGGGAGGTGCTAACATTGGGAAGTCCTTGCCAGGCTCCTGAGTTTCGGGAGCTGCGTCCCTGGTCCTCCATCCCCTTCCCATCCTCATCTCCATCCCCTTCCCATCCTCATCTCCATCCCCTTCCCATCCTCATCTCCATCCCCTTCCCATCCTCATCTCCATCCCCTTCCCATCCTCATCTCCATCCCCTTCCCATCCTCATCTCCATCCCCTTCCCATCCTCATCTCCATCCCCTTCCCATCCTCATCTCCATCCCCTTCCCATCCTCATCTCCATCCCCTTCCCATCCTCATCTCCATCCCCTTCCCATCCTCATCTCCATCCCCTTCCCATCCTCATCTCCATCCCCTTCCCATCCTCATCTCCATCCCCTTCCCATCCTCATCTCCATCCCCTTCCCATCCTCATCTCCATCCCCTTCCCATCCTCATCTCCATCCCCTTCCCATCCTCATCTCCATCCCCTTCCCATCCTCATCTCCATCCCCTTCCCATCCTCATCTCCATCCCCTTCCCATCCTCATCTCCATCCCCTTCCCATCCTCATCTCCATCCCCTTCCCATCCTCATCTCCATCCCCTTCCCATCCTCATCTCCATCCCCTTCCCATCCTCATCTCCATCCCCTTCCCATCCTCATCTCCATCCCCTTCCCATCCTCATCTCCATCCCCTTCCCATCCTCATCTCCATCCCCTTCCCATCCTCATCTCCATCCCCTTCCCATCCTCATCTCCATCCCCTTCCCATCCTCATCTCCATCCCCTTCCCATCCTCATCTCCATCCCCTTCCCATCCTCATCTCCATCCCCTTCCCATCCTCATCTCCATCCCCTTCCCATCCTCATCTCCATCCCCTTCCCATCCTCATCTCCATCCCCTTCCCATCCTCATCTCCATCCCCTTCCCATCCTCATCTCCATCCCCTTCCCATCCTCATCTCCATCCCCTTCCCATCCTCATCTCCATCCCCTTCCCATCCTCATCTCCATCCCCTTCCCATCCTCATCTCCATCCCCTTCCCATCCTCATCTCCATCCCCTTCCCATCCTCATCTCCATCCCCTTCCCATCCTCATCTCCATCCCCTTCCCATCCTCATCTCCATCCCCTTCCCATCCTCATCTCCATCCCCTTCCCATCCTCATCTCCATCCCCTTCCCATCCTCATCTCCATCCCCTTCCCATCCTCATCTCCATCCCCTTCCCATCCTCATCTCCATCCCCTTCCCATCCTCATCTCCATCCCCTTCCCATCCTCATCTCCATCTCCATCCCTTCCCCTTGTCATCTCCCCCATCTCCTGCATGAGCTTGGTCAACTTGGGACCACGGCTGGCCCTAAAAATAACCCCAGAGAAGCTCCCCGGGCACTGACAACCCCCTCAGAGACCTCCTTGATCCCTGGGGGGAGCAGGGATGATGCTGGGGGGGTTGTGTGAGATGGAAATGAATTTCCCAGTGGCTAACTGGGGGAGGAGACCACCTGCCCTGGTTCCTTTTTGCCCTGCAGAGCCCCAGGAGGGGACGATGCCCTTAGCAGGCAGCGTTCCCCGCATCCCAAAGGATGGAGGTGGTGGGGAAAAGTACTCAGGAGAAGTTTGGCTCCGGGGGATCCAGTCAATACCTCAACCCTGGGCACCTCCAGCCACCGGGCTTCGTGCCACCCCATTTTGGCTACCTTTGCCCGCGAGGCTGGTGGCCCAAATCCGGTGGGATGCTGAGCAAATCCCACCCCCCCTCTCCTTGCCATCTCCTCCAGGTGTGCTCAGGGAGCCTGCGCACGGGAGGGAGGTGCTAACATTGGGAAGTCCTTGCCAGGCTCCTGAGTTTCGGGAGCTGCGTCCCTGGTCC